GCCATTGGGAGGCTAGCAGGCAGCTGGAGGGTGGTTTATTCCTCTCCACTCTCACTTTCCATGACTCCTATGAGACTTTGCTCCTGGCCCCATTCATTATTGCGCTATAATTTATTGTTTGCCAACCAACAAAGGTGAACCAACCCTAGCTTGGTTAGCATTCTTTTTATATATGCTTTTATTGCCTTATTTTCTGATGACAAAGTAATACGTGCTGCTTGTAAAAAAAATTAAATTGCAGGAAGATATCACTGGGGGAAAACGAAAGTGCAAGTTTAGGCACACAAGACTCAAGAGCTGACAGCTTGCTATTCTTTGGGAGAGAGGGAGGGACATCCCATAGTGTGAGGGCTAATTTTTAATGTGTCAGTGTGTCTGGGGTACTGGATGTCCAGAACTTTCCTAGGTGTGTCTGTGAGGATGTTTCCAGAGACTAACATTTGAATTGATGGACTGAGTAAAGATTAAAGTTGCTAAGTGGTATAGTGGGGATCTGTGCCCTCCTGTAACCCCCCCCCCCTAAACATTTGTATATCTGTTATGGGTCAAATTCCAGGCCTGGCAAAGGCTCAGCATGTGTCCTATCATGGAGTTGTAGCCCCAGCTCCTAAAATTCAGATCTTAGTTTTTCTCTGGGCTGAAGCTTTTACTGTGACTCTGGGTCTTGGGCAAAGAATTCTATCTTTAGAAACATTTACTGGGACCCCACAGAAAATGAGGTGGGATTTGTAGAACTTCTTATTTTAGAAAAGGGGTCTTAAGTAGCTCAGGTTGGCTTTGAGTTGATCCTCCTGCCTCTGCCTCTGGAGTGCTGGAATTACAGGCATGTAATACCACACCCAGCTACCTTTGAGATTTTCTATGTCACTATTCACAGCTGGCACAGACTCCCTCCCTCTTAGCATTTAGTTGGGTCTTTTTTTTTTTTTTTTTTAGATCCTATATACACACAGGAAAAAAGGGTGAAAGTCCTCAGTGTTTTCTTCTTGCCTTTGAATTTCTGCCTATATATAGATTAAGCACTTACTATAAAGCACAGGCCTCACGTACACCTGCAATTCCGTGACGTATGATTTGCAGCTAAGAACACTGAGCAGGCGCCTGCCTTCACATATTCATGCAAACCCACCCTCTCCCTTTACTAATGGCTCCTTGAGGACAGGACTGTAGTTGGGTCTTTCCAGCCCAGAGGCCAATACATGGGAGATTTGTTGGGAGGACACAGTGAAATAGCAGTGGCAGGCCAGGAATATGACTCAATAGTAGAGCACTTGGCTAGCATGCACGACACCCTGGGTTTAATTCCCAATTACACTTGAGAGTGCTTAAGCACCACACACAAACACACACACACACTACACACACACACATACAGTACACACACCACACACACACACACATACAGTACACACACCACACACACACACACATACACACATACAGAGTACACATACAATACACACACAGTACACAACACACATACAGTACACACACAGTGTATACACACACACACACACACACACACCATTTTCAGGCATAAACTTAGTACTAAACTTTTAACTGAATTCTTCCACATGCTGTTTCATTCGATCTACAACAGTCATGGCAGGAAGTAGGTACTATTATTCTCATTTTGCAGAGGAGAAACTGAGGTACAGAAATTTGAAGTCTGAGGTTTTGTAATTGGTAACTGGTGGAGCTATAATTTGACTCGTGAACTATCCCTTTCTGAAACTTCTGCTTTGAATGAGGTGGTGATTGATGAGGCCATACACACTTCAGAGACCTCCCGGCCCTTCCCTGTACCTGCTTGGTTCTCTGTTCTCTCTGCTGAATGTTTGCAGTGTCTTAAGCCAGCATTAGCAGACAGAGGGATTTAGGAAAGGCCCTCTCTGTGTCTGAAGCAATCCTGTGATCCTGCTTATTTTTTATGGGAAGTAGCATTTTTGAATCTCCTAGTTCTAAAAATAAACCACAATTTTTAGGGGCTCTTGGGGACTAGCTCAGGCATTTCAGGACAGCCATTTGCCTATCTGCAACACAGGAAATTAATCAGAAGTCCAAAACCCTTCCCCTCTTCCCACAGGCTGGTGTTCTGGAAATACCCAGGGCCTTGCTGTGGTTCCTCTGGAAGACTAGGGGACAGCTGAGGGCAACCTAACAAGTCTCCATTTCTCTGTGAGGAGGCATGGAACAGAAACAGGTCACTCTGCTGCAATAACCTGCAGAGAGAACTTGCTGCTGTCAACCTGGAGGTGTGCCAAGACTGATGCCCTGGGGCCTGCAGAATCCACCTGGGGTCTGGAGACTGGGGAACTGGCTCCTGTTCTAATAGCCACTTTCAGTAACCCTCTCCCTTATGTCAAACCCTTGAGGTCATCTCCTATGAAATGACTGGGTGGATTTTTCCCCCTCTTCTCTCTCTCTTTTTCTTTCTTTCTTTTTTGAGACAGGTTCTTAACCATGTCATATGGCCCAATCTGGCCTTAAACTTCTGGGAATACAGGCCTATACTACCCATCCTGGTGACAAGGATGCTGTTTATGTTAGAAACTGGAAATATCACTGACAGAGGTGCTTTTGAAAATAAGAATGATAACCACACTGTTTGTTGCCTGGTGCTTTCTATATAATATCACATTTATTTTGCTTACTTATTTTTTTTTTTTTTTTTGAAACAGCATCTCCTTGTGTGGCCCAGGCTAGACACAAACTCACAATCCTTCCCAAGAGTTGAAATTAGAGTCATTTTTCACTCTGCTTGACTTATCATGTTTAATTAATTAATTGATTAATTAGTTAATCTTTTGGTGCTGGGAACTGAACCCAGGATTTTGTACTTGCTAGGCAAGTGCTCTATCACTGAGCGAGTTTGTCAAATCCAGGTTAAACAAATAACACAAGGACTATGTAATTATTCTTATTTCACAGGTGAAGGAGCTGAGGCTTAGTGAGCTCCTATAAACTGGGGAATGGGTTTGTGGCATCACAATTTGAGTTCCATAAACATGCCTAGTTCTCATGCCTATAAATCACTAAGAAACAAATGGAAATTTTATTTATCTATCTATTTAAAGACAGGCTGTCATGTAGCCCAGAATGACTTCAAAGTCACTATGTTGTTGAGGATGACCTTAATTTTCTTTTTAAAAACTTTATTATTTTAAATCCCAGAACTCTGGAGGCAGAGGCTTTCTGAGTTTGAGGGCAGCCTGGTTCACAGATCAAGCTCCAGGACAGCAATAGCTACCTACACAGAGAAATCCTGTCTCCAAAAACAACAAAATTTTTATTTTTATTTATTACTTTTTATGATTGTTTTGCTTACATATATGTATATGTACTATGTATGTGCCTGGTGCCTGAAAAGGTCAGAAAAAGGAATTAGATCGCCTGGAACTGGAGTTGCTGATTGTTGTGAGCTGTCATGTGGGTGCTGGGAACTGAACCTGGGTCCTCTCCAAAATGCTCTAATCACTGGAGCATTTCTCCAGCCCGAACTTGTTTTTTTTTTATGGTGGGGGCAGGGTCTCTCTATGTAGCTCTGGCTGTCCTGGAACTCACTATGTATATAGGTCAGGCTGCCCTCAAATTCACAAAGATCCACCTGCCTCGGCCTCCCAAGTGCTGGGATTAAAGGCATTTGCCACTGTGCTCAGCTTTGCATATGAATTTCTGATTTTTCTGACTCTACTTCCCGAGTGCTGGAATTACAGGTGTGTGCTACCAGTGTGCTACCACATTGGTCTATGCAGTGCTGGTGAGTAAAACCAGACTGTTGTGCATACTAGGCAAATACTCTACCAACTGAGCTATGTCCCTAGCCCCAAAGGCTAGACCAGGCTGGCTTTAGACTTGTGATACTGCTGTCACATCCTCTTCAGCATTTGTCTACTGGTGTGTATGGCCATGACTGGCATTATTTTTTTAAATATTCTCTTAGCCTTAGCCCAGCTAAGATGCAGCTAAGTAACGAGTAATGCACCGTGCTGCTGCCTCAGTGTTGGGATTGTAGGCATGTGTCACTACCATACCCAGCTGGAGGTCAATTGGATACAAGTTATGCTGTGTCCATGACCCTGTGCGAGCTAAGTCAATGCTATCAGGTACAGAGAGCCTAAAGGCTTGGCTTTTGCCTGGAGGAAACTAGGAGGACATGCACATGAGATGGGGTGACAAGGCAAGAACACAAGCAGAAGGCCAGATGTGGGAAAGCAGTGGGTGCGCCGAAGTTTGTGTAAACTCTAGAGACTGCGTGTATGAAGGTAGGAAGTGAGCATACCAGGCTACGGATTTGGCCTTTGTTCCATAGGCAATAAAGAGCTTACACAAGAGGTGTCTCCAGAGACCGACCATATTGCTGCAGTCAGAGAGAAAGCAGCCTTTAGCCATCTGTGTTCCGGCTTGTGCAGGCTGCTGGGTGCCAGCGCGTGGGAGGGCATCCACAGAGAGAATGTCTTCTGTGGCCTGTAGTTTGCTGGGTGTGGGTCCTGGGCTGTCTTCAAAGTCCTTTCACCCTTCACTGGGCCCTTGTACTTTGCACATAGAAGGCGTTGGTGAGACGTTTTGATACCATCTGGCCTCTGCTAACTCCCATTTTAAAGAAGGTGGATACAGATAGACAGGAAAGGACTTTCCTGGCAGCACACAAGGAATGAATGTGGAGTTAGTGGGACTAGAACTCATGACTTCCGAGCCACGCCCAGTTCCTTCTCCACACTCACTAACCGTGGTGCTTGTTGAGCGGATTACTCCATTTCAGGCCCCGGGCTAATCGCTTTGCATGAATGATCTCACTCTCCCAACATCTCTGAGACCGCCCGTTTTGCATTCAATTCTGCCTTCTAAGTCAGGTTTCCCTTGGAGCCCAGCACCTAGCTAGGAAGGCAATGAAAACTTGGCTGGGTTCAAACCCTGGGCTTGGAAGTGGGAGGGCAAAAAAGAAAAAAAAAAAAAAAGCGTAAGAGGCGTGGCCTCGACTCAGGCCCGCCCTCGGAACGCTGACGCCACACGAGGCCCCGCCCCTCATTGTCAGTCTGGGGCAGCCTGAGCAGGCGCCGGCCGCTGGGAGCGAAGCGCCGGATCCTTCGGCGGCGGAGCGCGGGCCGGAGCGGCAGAGGTGAGGCGGCGGCGGGAGCGCGGCCAGGCGGCCAGTCTGAAGGCTCGGCTTGTGTGCCGGGGGGCTCGGCCGGGGTGTCCTGGGGGCGGTGGGAAGTGCGCGCGGCTTGTGGAAGCGGAGCCGGGAAGGGGAGGACTCCGGTGGGCCAGCCCGGGAGAGTGTGGCCGGAGTTGGAGGGAGAGACTCAGGAGGTTTTTTTTTTCCTCCCGGGGAGGGGGAGGGACGTTTCTGAGGAGACTGAGGAGACGCCGGGTGAGGGCGAGCGCCGCGGCCCGGGAGGCGTCGGGGTCCTAGCCGGGCTCGGCGGGGCGGCGGGCGGGGAGGAAGGAAGTGAGCGGACAGGAAGGGCCGCGGCCGGTGTGCGGGACGAGGCGCGCGGGGGACGCGGAGAGGGAGGCCCGCGGCGCCCGCAGCTGTCGGCCCGGGCTTCGGCCCGCGCGGCTCCCGCCGGCGCGCTGCTCCGTCTCGCGGCCAGACCGCCGCGGCCGGGGAAGGAATTCGAGGCATTCGCTTTGTTTAAGTTGCCAGTCGACAGTCCCGAGGACTAATTAATGGTGGAATCTGCAGGGGCACTCGGGCAGCCGCCGGCCCCCTCCCGCCGCCGCCGCGGTGAACTTTCCGCAGCGCGCACCCCGCCCCGTGGCCCGGCGGGGAAGGGAGCCATGGCTTCCCGAAGCGCAGGAATGAAGTGCGGTTTCGGGAGCCGCTTTTGGCCTGCGGTGGCGAGGCGACGAGCGAGGGGAAGCCGGCGTCCCGGGCGCGGCGGGGCTGGGGGAGGGGGTCCGCAGCCCGGTGGGGACCTCTCTCCGAGGTGCCTGCGGTTTCTGCTAATTACCTCGCAGGAGCCTCGGCCGGCCGAGGACGACCCATCTTGCTTTGGAGCATCTGTTTCTTCATCGCGTCAGCCCCTTTCCTAACACTGCAGAGCTTGTTGTGGCTTGTTTCGGAAATGCCGAGGCGGGTGCTCACACTTCGGGGTGGGAGAGGGGAAGAGAGCAGGCAACCCCCCATCCCCCTTCACACACCTCAAAAAAAAAAAAAAAAAAAAAAAAAAAAATCTCCGCAGTGTTCTTCACCGAGGAGCTTGCAGATTCTCGTCGCACCTTCTTCATTGACTTGAATGACCTTGGGGGAAAGGATTGTGTTTCTGAGCGCCTCGTGGTGGCTTTTCTGTCCATTGAGGAGAAAATACTCTGGACCTCTCTACCATTTGGGGGATATTTTTGAGAAGTGGGATTTGTTCAGGGTATTTCGTTTTATCCACTGCTGTGGTTCTTCTGGCTTAAGGATCTGGAGTAGTGACAGAGCCGGGAAGAATTCAGATCACCTAGGAAGATTTAGCAACCCCAGATGAGGGGAGGATAGTTCCTTTTGGGAAATCTGTGCAGCATGTTCCAGATTGCCTTCTGTCACTTTGTGTACAGCTTTGGTGGCATTTGTGTGGTCAAATTCTGTAACCCCCATAGAAAATTATTCTCTTGTTAGAAATAATTGTTTTGCGCAGAATTTCCCCTTGGGGCAGATTAAGGTTTTGCTCAATTTACTGAGAAGAATTTTCCAGATTTCTAAAATTAAATCACTTTTCTAAACATAGCAACTAAAGTTTGAAAAAGTAGACACAGTGGGATGGGCAAGGGATGGACTATGAAGGCAGGAAGTATAGGTTCATAGCTGACCATTAATAACAAAGATTTTAAAAAATATTTTTAGTTGTGCGCCTGTGTATGGGAATGTTCACATGAGTTCAGGGGCTCTCTAAGGCCAGATCCCTCTGAGTTGGACTTAAGGCAGTTATGGTTCTGGGCTGCCTGACATGTATACTGGGAGCTGAACTTTGGTCTACTGGAAGAACATTTTGCTCTCTCTCTCTAGCTCCTATAACATGAATTGTTAGCCCTTCTGATTTTTTTTTTTTTTTAAAGCCTGAAGACCAAGAAAGGGAACAAATAATGTTGAGTTGCTACTCAATATTATTGCTAGGTGGCAAGTATATTATATAGTCTAACAAGTCAGTGAAGTGCTAGTTGAGCAAATTGAAGGTCAGAATGTATAAGTGACTTCCAAGTTCATGCCTATAACTAGTAAAAAGTAGCTCTGAAATTTGATATGAGTCTGTTTGCTCCACATTAACTTCCAATTGTGTACTGCCTTGGGAAACAAGAAACTTAATTTCTAGATCTTTGAGTCAGTCCAGTGGGTCATTGTGGGACCATAGAGTGATGTCAGTGTGCTCTGGAGGCGTGATAGTGTTTTGGTTCAAAGACTATATAAAAATACCTACTGTATATAGTAGGTGCTTAATGTTTTGCTCATGTTGGAAACATTTGTATCAAAACAGTGGTTGCCTAAGTTGGTCATACATTTATTTCATCTGTATAACAGAGGCTGGTAGAAAGATGTAATGGTCCTACAGTAGAGGCCATCATTGAGGTGATATTCAGGATCTAGAAAATCAAACTTTTTCATGTTACAATTATGGGACGGTACCAACTAAGTAAAGCATGCTATTTGTAGGACTCAGATAATCCAACCTGAAGATTTGTTATAAATTTTGATGCATGTAACAGACACTCATTAAATTTATTTGCTGAATGAATGTATGTTATTGATGTATACTTTTTATGTGATATAATTGATCAATGTTAGGCATATAGTTTGAGCTTTGACAGAGGTATAGTGTTGTGAAGTCACTACTACTACTACTTTGTTCTTTTAAACTTTTCTTTAAGGAATTGATAACAGATTAGGAGGTTTCTATGCTTAGTTTTTTGTTGTTGGTTCTTTGAGACAGGGTTTCTCTGGAATTAGCTGTGTAGACCAGGCTGATCTCAAACTCACAGAGATTCACCTGCCTCTGACTCCTGAGTGCTGGGACTAAAGGTGTGCACCACTACCAACTGTCTCTATGCTTAGATTTTATACTGTGAGATCAGAATGAATACTAGGGAGTCTGTATGCCAACTTGGTAGGAAATAAGGAAACCTTAAATATTTAATATGGTGCTCATAAGAGAGGAAGTGATGACTACATTTGGGAGGAAGTAGATTTTAGTTACTTCCAGGCCAAAGGATATATTTTTGCTAAAATTAATACTATGTAAAGTTTTATTAAGAGTAAAACTAGCTGGGCATTTAATCCCAGCACTCGGGAGGCAGAGGCAGGCTGATCTCTGTGAGTTCAAAACCAGCCTGGTGTGGAGCTAGTTCCAGGACAGCCTCCAAAGCCACAGAGAAACCCTGTCTCAAAAAAAAAAAAAAAGTATAACTTTTTGTTTTCCTTTGAAATATAGCTTGTATACATAATACATGCTTAAAATGTATAGTTAGCATAAAATGTCCACATAGTACTTAAGGGTGGGGATGCAGTGAAATGGTTGAAAGTCTCACTTTCCCACCTGTAACCAATTTATCCTTAATGCTGATCTCTGATTTATTTTAGCCAACATTAAACAAAGGGGAGGATATATTAGGTAGAAAATGTGTGGTTTTTTTTTTTTTTTTTTCTTTATACTTTTTCTGAATCACCAAACTTGACTCAGGTTGCTTTAGCTCAAGTCTCTCTGTATTAGGAAATGACAAAACCTTCCTTGCACAGCTTCTAGAATCTAGAAGCCACCACCTTTCTACTTCATTATTTTCCCTTCTCTCTCTTTCATTTTATTTCTCTTGTACAATTCTCTATTCCTATCTGTGAATTTGTCTGAGAATAGAAACTTGTTTGCATCAATTGTTGGCCTTCTCGCTATATACTATTAGGAAATAGTAAATAAATTAAAATACCCTTCAGACTACTCAACATTTTGGGTGATTGTAGGGAGAAAATTATAGTAGCTTACTTCATAGTTATGAAGTAGTTATTATCTTCATTTTATATGGGGAGCTTAGCTCAGAGCAGTCACTGCTGACCTTGTGAGGGTAGACCATGTATTTGAGGACAAGCAGGTTCAATCTTTATTTCATTACACTCGGGTGTGTTGGGTATCTTAAAAGAGCAAAGTTGAATATACCATGTCAAAATTAGAGCTGCAATGTAGTAGGCATGCTGCTTTTGTTTTCATTTGTTTTTAGTTCCTATAGATGCCTCCTCAATGCTAAAGAATTAATAACTCACCTTTTATTGCACATTTCCCTTCCCATACTCAGCATTTATTCTTTAAGTATAGTATTTTGTATTCATTTACTGTTTGGGTCACTTCTCCCCTTTATATGTGATCCAAAATTTCTGTCACTTTAGTCTGTTATTCAAGAACTTCATCCTTGGCTGGTGCCCTTCTCTTTGTATTTTATCTGGACAGTCTTACTTATTTGAGTTTTGAGACAGGGTTTCATTATAGCTCAGGCATCAGACTCCCTGTGTAGCTGAGGAAATAATTTGAGAGAGAGAGAGAGAGAGAGAGAGAGAGTGTGTGTGTGTGTTGCAGGGGATTAAACTCAGGGCTTTGCAAATGCTAGGTAAGTGCTCTGCCAATTCTCTCTCTCTCCCCCTCTCTCCTTTTCTCCCCTCTCTGTCTCTCTGACTCTGTCTCTCCAGCCCAGACTAGCCTTGAACTTGCTATGTATCCCAGGCTGGCCTTGAACTCATGACTAGCCTCCTGCTTCAGTTGCCTGAGTACTAGAATTATAGAACTATAGATAGGTGCTACCATGCCCTGACCAAGTCATAATTTAAAATGTGTTATTAAAAACTTGCATAAAGCTTTAAAAACCTACCATACTTTTTCTTTTCGTTTTTGTGATACTAGGGATTGAACATGATGTCACCTTGTATTTATTTTGGGACAGTGTTTAAGTTGCCTGGATTTAAACTTAAACTTCCTGTCAACCAGGCTGACCCTGCATTTGTCCTTTTAAAGATTTGTTTATCTTTGTATATATTTGAGAAAGAAAATTGTGTGTGTGTCTGTCCGTCTGTCCATATGAATTGTACAAAGGCCAAAAAAAGGTGTTGGTCATTTGGAACTGGAATTAAAGGAATTTGTGAAACCTTTTTAAGTTAGTGTT